AGCTCGCCGCTTTGAGTGGACCTCTCCTCGTTCTTGTCGCACTTCGTTGGTGGAGACTACCCGGTACCACACGCCGGAGGAGTTCCAAGCACACCTTTCCTCGAGGTTCCGTGTGTCTGTGGGCGCGGTCGGGGTCTGTGCTTGGCTTGGGGGCCACTTTGCATGCGTGTGCCCGCCTAGATGGCTACTCTAAGCGTCCGCTATGCGGAAGGTAAAATGCAGAGATAAAGTGGTGCACCCCGAGCCGAGCTCAGAGTGGACCGTTGTTTGAGGTTCAGCTGGGACTTCGATCCCATGTCTTTGGTTGGGGTGGAGGCATGTGTCGACCTAAAGGCCACATTAGGCAAGTCCCATGAGCTGTGCCGTGTCGGAGGTGGCCAAGGCGGTGGACTGTGCCTTTTTAGGCCTAGACGAGTGAGGCTTCGGCCAAACCTCACCAAGGCTCTCGCTCTTGGTGCCTGAGCGAGCCAGTGGAATCCCCACCCCAGCCTAGGTCGACTTCCCCTAAACCGTGTAGGAGCAGACAGAGGCGGCCACCACACACCCATTGTTGTTGATGGCAAGCATACTGAGGACTTCATCACGCATTCAAGAAGCCACTCATGATGCCTGCCTTGTCGTCGCCTCCACGATCGTGGCTAACTCAAGCAAGAGCGCGAAAGGGGAGCTAGACGACTCAGAGCTCGTCCCCAAGAGGAGCGCTAGGCTTGCCGCCAAGAGCAGGCACAGGGAACAGAAGCCGAAGGCTCAAGAGCGGAAGGTGATGATGAAACGTCTGGGGCTCGAGATGGAGACTGAGCTACCTGACGAAGCCTCCTTTGAGGAATTCCAGACCGCCTTCAAACTCCCCCTGTCGGCGTCGACGAGGGAAGCCATGCAGACCCTCTTCCCGGGCAGGAACCCGCGAGCCTAGAATTTGTCTTGCTGTTTTAGTCACAAAACACTTTTCCTATGTAGCTTTTTCTAAGTGTATCCGGTAGCTTGGTGGTAAGGTGTGTTGTGTCACGAAGGCTCCTCGCTTGCATGATTGCGCATGGGTGTACTGATAACTATTTTTTTCTTAATGAAAAACGGGTGGATGGCCCGATCATGAGAAAAAAAAACCTAATCGTCTTGAAAATCTACTTTGCATCAATTCCCTTCCCTCGATTATTTATACTGTGTCAGTCTTTCCTTTCAAAAGGAGACGTGTCCCCATAGGCCATAGCAACAATTCACAAATATGGTTATCGAAACGTTCGGATAGTAGTTTTGAAGTTTGCGAAGTTTGTTGGGTATACCATTTCTTGCAAGGCGTGCGTGATCCTTTGACGTCAGCGAGTCAGCGTCAAATGACATCGAGAACAAACTCTTCAAACAGTCTAATGTATGTATGTAAACGGTTTCTAGAATACCCAGGTTTAGGCTAGAATCAGTCCTGTTTAGTTTCCAAAAATTTTCACCTTAAAGGGTCACATCGAATCTTGCATGAAGATTAAACGTAGATTTAAAAACATAACTAATCGCACAAATGCGATGGTGAATCGCGCGAGATTTAAACTTTCAAACCTAATTACTCCATAATTAGACACTAATTACCAAATACAAACAAAAATACTACGGTAGCCAAAACAAAAAAAAATCGCCATCTAAACGCGCCCTATATGATGCTTAATCGCTTAATTAGTGCCGCTGACTTCACCTGGCATCGCACCGTCCGTTCCGGTATGCTCGTACTCGTACGAACAAGTCATCAATGTCCGCAAAAGCAGCCCATGGAAATGGAACGGAGTGCTACAAAACAAATCAAGAAGCCGAGCCAACTGACCCCTTCCGTCTCGGGCTCTCGGCGAAGTGACAAGCGCGTGCGCGATTCCATTCCGGAGAGGCAGGTGTGCGTTGATTCCTGCGCTGCGCCCCAACAAGGCCAACGCCCAACGGGGACAGGATGAGGGGACAGCGGGCGACGAGAGGGAGGAAAATTCCAGTCCAACTCTAGCGCTTCCCTTCTCCTTTCCTCTCGTCTTCCCCGCGTCGCCGGCTCTGGTCTGGTCGGGTCTTGCCTCCATTTCGGGACTCGTAGCTTCTTCCTGGTCGTGGTTGCTGCGCGTCTTGCGTACCCTGGTACGGAGCGTTTCTTGATCCGTTTTTCTTTTCATTTTCCCCCCACGCCGTTTCGGTGGATTGCTAGAAGGTGTCGTGGATTCGTTGCCGGCTTGTGTTGTGTGTTCAGCAGCTAGAGTTCCTGTTCTGCTACAGTCCTGCTTTTCTGTTCTTTGTTTATTGCTTTACACCGTTAGTACCATGGGGGCGTGGACAGGAGAAAGATTGCTGGTTCACCGCTCGAATTCTATCGGATGTCTTCACCGTTGAGCATGTGGGAATCCGCCAATTCGGAGATCTTGCCTACTTTTTAGGTTCAACAGATGTTATTGTTTGTATCTATCATATTCATTTGTCAGATCTATTATTCTTCTCCAATATGAGTTCATTGGGACATAATCGAATTTGTCATTTTATCCGGAGAGAATTCATTTCAATGAGCCCTTCCCAGCTTATCGAGTTTGCCTAGTATAATTGCGTTTGTCATTTTCTCTGTCCTTCTACGTTATTATCAGCACACAGAATAGAAAATTGTCTGGGGGCTCTACATGTAACTATAGAAGTAGTTGCTACCGGTACCTACCTGCTCGTTTTCATATTCCAATTGGATGGGAGTTTCTCATTTCTCTATCCAATTGAACACGTCGGTGTTATTTGCAAATTCAGAACTGGGCCCAAATCCTGGACGCGGTCTATTCTACTTAATTCAATCAGATTCCACATGCAAGTATTACTCTGCAGTGTCTCACTTTGCATATTATCACCAGTGTTGTTTAAATACGTACTTTTGAATTGTGTTATGAAGATTGAATTGATGTGTTGTTATGAGTATTGTTTAATATTTTCTTAATGCGCCATCCATCATAGGGTTGAGCATCACTGGGAGTGGAAGAAAGGAATCATGTTCAGGAGAAAGCATGCTTGTCATTTCAACTCAAATGATGCTGAGCAGCAAGAAGCAAAGGTAACTGTGATAATTGTCTTCTCATCATAGCTCATAAGTTTTTGTTGACATGAAGATTTTAGAGCCTGCTGTGAATTCTTATTTTACGTGAAAGCCCATAGTGAATCATGCTAGGAGTATGTTCCATAGTCCATAGACACGTGCTTTGTTCATATACTAGTGCTATGACTATGATCCAATTATTTGCTGCAATGAAACACCAGAGCCTACTGGGGCTTACTTATGTGTACCATGTTATGTTTGTGTGTTAGTACTAGTTCACACAAAAGCCTGCACTTAACAATCTAAATGTTCATACATAGATGTGTGTTATTGTCGCAGACTTGCCCTTGGGCCTTTATAAGCTTGACAAATGGTTTTAGTTTCTTTATGAGACTTTTCCCCGTGTGCCATTATAAAAGATCGTAATCCTGTGAAGCCTGGAAAAATTCAGCGGTCTTGGTATACTACTTTCAACTTTTTGGGTCCTCCATGCCACTTCCGTCGATTCGTGCTCTAACTTGCCGTTAAAGTGCAGTGTGAAAAGGCGAAAATGCCCTTAAGTTCAAATATGTTATTAATTTTTTTGAGCATCTTAATGACTTCAAATGAAAAACTCAAAACTAGAAAGTTGTAGATCTCGTCGAGATCTATAATTTCATATAAAAATTATTTTCATTTAATTCCATAAAAAAATATGATTTGATATGATTAATATATCTTAGAAAAATCATCATATTTTTTTATGGAATTAAATGAAAATAATATTTTATATGAAAATTATAGATCTCAAGATCTACAACTTTTAGTTTTGAGTTTTTCATTTGAAGTCGTTAAGATGCTCAAAAAAATTAATAACATATTTGAACTTAAGGGCATTTTCGTTTTTCACACTGTAGTTTGACGGCGTTAGAGCCTCGAATCGATGTATGGCATGGAGGACCCAAAAGTTGAAGTAGTGGCGTCAAGACCAACTTGAATTTTTCCAGGGGCACAGAGAAAATTAGGATCTTTTATAATGGCACACAGGGAAAAGTCTCTTTCTTTATTGAAATACCTCTGTATTGCCTGGTTGATTTCTCACATGATGTCGCCTATGAACAGATAAATGAATTAAAATCTGCACTTGGCCCTTTGTCTGCCCATGGCGAGTACTGCAGTGACACATGTTTGAGAAGATATCTTGAAGCCCGGAACTGGAATGTTACTAAGTCGAGAAAAATGCTTGAAGAAAGTCTCAAATGGAGGGCAACTTATAAGCGGGAGGATATTCGCTGGGTAAATGCACTCAAGTTACTTTGTTCCTGAATCCTGGTCAAGTGACCAAACACCATGCTAACTGCCTTTCAGCCTGATGTTTCTGCTGAAGCGGAAACTGGAAAAATGTACAAGGCAAGTTTTCGAGATAGAGAGGGAGAACCGTAATTATTATGAGGCCTACAAAGGAGGTAAGACTTTCTCTTTGAACTGACATCCCTGTGTTTTTTATTTCTCCTTCAAAGATCATCAATATTTCTTGCTTTTATCAGTCTTTCTTACTTTCATAAAAATTCACGTGTATGCTTTTATCAAATTCCAGAATTCAACGTCCCATGACGGTAAGATCCAGTTTCTTGTATATGTTTTGGAGAACGCAATCCTGGGCCAACATGATGGTCAAGAGAAAATGGTATGGCTGATAGACTTCACAGGATGGACAATGGCCCATGCCACACCCATAAAGACTGCAAGAGAATGTACAAGCGTCCTGCAAAATCATTACCCTGAGAGGCTGGCCATTGCATTTCTGTTTAATCCTCCAAAAGTATTTGAAGCCTTTTTACAAGGTAAAGGCTTTTAAACCTGTTTTGTAAATGTTCTGTTTGTGTTTGATTTACTTCACAAAGATTCAAAATCTATATGTAGAGTTGATACATAAAAATATGTTCCTGTTTTGATTTCCCTATCCTAACTCAAGTGTTCCAAATTCTTACAGGCTGTCAAATATTTCCTTGACCCGAGTTCGATTGAGAAACTGAACTTCGTGTACCTGAAGGATGAGGAGAGCATGAAGGTCCTGTACAAATGCATTGATCCCGAGGTCCTTCCTGTCGAGTTCGGGGGAAAGAACAGTGTTGTGTACAACCATGAGGAGTACTCCAAGTTGATGCTGCAAGAAGATATCAAACATCAAGCTTCTGGGAAGATGACGCCTTGAAAACTGTTGACCATACTGTCAATGGGAACTTGGTTCCTGATGTTGCACCTCAGTCGCCGCTGCTTGCTGCTAAAGCCAGTTGAGTATCAGCCTACTGTGATGGGAGCTATTCGGAATGCTTTAATGGAGCAACTGGAAAAGTTGAACAACAATAGAATGTTCATAGTAAACAGAAATAGAGCAAATAAGAGATGAGATATTACTTGTCCATAGTCGAAATAGTTGCACTTATCAAACACTTTAGTACACGATGAGTTACAGGAGGATACGCCATGGGTGATATTGGATGCAAAAGCCCAAATGAAATGGTGGGAGTGCCACCTGCTTATTGTATCTCAACAGTCACTAAATGCTTTACTTGTTTTAGCCGTGGCTACGGAGAAGCTAATTCTGGGTTATGGCTTTAAAAATGTTGATTTCATATTTGTATTTGATTATTATGGCCGAAGTAGCTCCTGACCAGTTTGTGGATTCTAATAGTAATGATACTCCTTGATTTTTTTTAACACAAGCGGCGGGAGTCCTGCCAGTCAATTTAGAGGGTGTTAGTTTAGTCCCTGTCACATGGGACGTTCGGAGGATAATTAGGAGGGTTAAATATGAGATAATTATAAAACTAATTGTATAGTTGGAGACTAATTTACGAGATGAATCTATTATACCTAATTAATCCATCATTAGCATATGTTTATTGTAGCACCACATTGTCAAATTATGGAATAATCTATATAGATCTCTAATCCAGGTGAAATTCACTGTTGATCAATAGTGCCTCCCCGTTTCCTACACTCATATCACTGCTCATCCACAGTCTTTCTTGCATGCCCGTCCGATCCGCCGTCCAGCCACGCGATGCCTGCCAAGGTTGTCTACGTGCCCCGATAGGGCTTTCTTCCACCCGCCTGCCCAATCCACGCGTCCACATCGTCCACCAAAAAACACCGCCCCAAAGAAACAAAACAAACTCGCCTCCAAATTTCTCTCCACCGCCGACCAGACATCATCGCCTCTCTCAGAACACCCTCGGTGTTACACTGTAAATCTTTTGCTAAAACACTGCATGTGCATCATGTTTATGTGATAGTCTATGAATTATAGTGTGTAAATCAATTCCTGTGACTCGAAACGTTCACCGAAAACGCGAAACGAATGTTATATTTCATGTCGTGTTATATCACTTAGAGTTCTAAACGAATTTTTATTGAACGAAAATATTATAGAATGCATATACGGAACTTTAATAACGTTTGTAGTATAAGATTTGTAGGTGATGATGAAATACGTGCGGTCGAGAACGGGATTCACTAGCTAGCTTACTTAATAGCTTGGAAATCGCATTCGACGCGAAACCGATCAAGACGTAGTCGCATTTCTTAAGTTAGAAAATGGTTTGACGAAGCTAAGTTCGGCAATTTTTGTAGAAGAATCGGGCTAAGTAGTGGTATGGTCTTAGGGTGTGTTTTAGTAGCTTGACATACCATCTCGAGTGTTAAATAGGTGGTTTAGCAACTGGATCACTAAGATGGATTTTTGGGACGCTTTAAAAAGCGTGCAAGGCACGTTCCCGGCCGGTTTTAGCTTTTGGACGCGGTCACCAGGCTTCGGCTCGGCTCGGCGCCGCAACGCAGGCTTGTCGTGGCACGCACACGCGCACTGCCATGCAGGCCGCACCGCCGTTGCTGCAGCCCGGGCACGCGATTCACGCACGCACGCGTACGCCGCGCCCGGCGACCTAGCCGCTCGGCCACCACCGCCGTCGTCGCGGGCCCGCTGCCCTGGCTAGTCCACTGCCGCCGCTTCGTCGTGTCGCTGACTCCGTGCATCGCGTCACCACGCTGCTGCTAGCCATGGCCGCTTGTGCGAAGTCGCCCGCATGCGCTCTACCACCGCCGTCGCGTCCGCCTGGCCGCTCTGCCGCCTCGCGCTCGCCTGTGCGGTACCGTGCGCGCGTGGCCACACTTGGCCTGCTATGTCCGGCACCTGGCCCTGCCCGCACGTAGCCTTGCCGCGTGTGGGCTTGCCCCGTCTACATTGCCATCACATCCGTTTCGATGCGACGCTGCGCTGACCGGCGCCATCCATTGCGGCGCGCAGGACCGAGACTCCATCGTCGGCCTACGATTTATGGCCATGCGTCCAACATCTGGAGCACGTTTCGCTGTCCCCCCATCGCCCTGTAGCCCATGCACGTTTGCACCGAGTTGACAGCCACGTCCCGCCACGGCAGCGACGAGCCAAGACATGCCTGTCTTCCCCTGTTCCTCTGTCGCCGTGGTCGTCGGACCCGCGCCTCTCAATTCGGCCTGGCGGAGCCACCTCGATCCAATTAGCTTGGTCCACGGCTTCGTGGTGTAGTTAGCCAGCCAGCCGACCCCATCGTGCGGTGTTACTCGCTGAGCCATGCTCCAATTTGGAGCTTTCCTCACGCCGGGTCGTTAAGACCGTCGTGGCACGCGTCGACGGCAAGGTCCCCACTCCAGTACTACTCGTGTTCAATTCGTTGCACCGCTAGCTTCGCCTTCACCTACTCATCACCCTACGTGCCTTTGCCTAATCGCTACCACCTCCTAGCCACCTCTGACGCGGTCTTGCCGTCGTGGGGCACCACCGCACCGTCCACATGCCATGCGCCGCCATTCGGGGCTCGGCCGCCTCCCTACCGAACCACCGCCTCTTCTATGTCCATGGTGAGTTCCTTGAGCTCACTCGCTACCCCAACTTCTCCGGCGTTGTTGTAGCTCACCGAACGTCACCGCTTTCATTGCAGAGCTCCGCCACAGTGGACCGACTTTACTACGGCTGGCCTCGCTCGCACTTTCTTCTCCCAAAGCTTGGCGCTCATGCCTAGGCGGTATCGGCTCCATAGATAGGGCGGGGAAGGGCTGGTCTGGCCGGGTAACCACCGGTGCCGTTGCCGCCCGGTGCAGTCTTGTGCAAGGGGCCCGAGGGTATGGCCGTGGTAAAGATGGAAAAGGGAGGGCGTAATTGTAAGATAGTGGATCGATGGAATAGTCTTTGGGACCTCGATTGGATTCAGTATTAGAGAAAGGGCGTTTTAGCAAATATACCACCAGACGGGCCTCTCCGTCAGCCGCAGTCGTCGCGCAGGCCGGTGAAGGCATGCGTCCTCTGCGGTCAGCTATTGGTGGGTCAGCGTCGCGTGCGCGCATACGCCTGCGATGCGGAATGGGCCGCCTTTGCTTGTTTGTGGGCTGCGCGGTAGAGTTTGGTTTTCCTTTTTCCGGTGAAGTAATAAACGTTTATTCAATTTAGTTTTGAGCTGAACTTTGAAAAATTATAGTAAATTCTATAAATGTCTAAAAATAGTGAAACAAAATTTGTTAGGTTCATAAAATTGCTATCTATCTGTTGTTGTAGTTAGTTTATAGTTAGCTGTGATAATGATGGATTCAAAAATTCAATTTAGAAAGCCTAGTACTAGTTAGCTTAATATCTGTAGGATTTTTTATGGCAATTTGGTGATAGCTTTAGGCATGAAATTTTTACAGTAGGTTCATTAGATTATTATGCGCTCACTGTAATTTTTGTAGCCCTAGAGTAGGTTGATAAATAGAGTAGCTAGTACTCCTCGTTTTATCATATATAGAGTAAATCGGTATTAAGAGTAAGAATACCTTTAGTTGCTAAGATAGTACATGTCATGTTTCATACTTGTTAGTGATAACAATAGGTAACTTAGCACCTTAGCCGGTAGAACTAGCTTAGTAGCTTGACAGGTGTATTCGTATTTTAAGAGTTGTTGTACCGTATTACTAAGTGTTGCATCATTATTTCATGCGTGTAGATCACGAGTTGGTAGAGTTCGTGCCTGCGGACGAACATGACTATGAGGAGATTATTGAGGAGTACGAGGAGGAGGTTCTCGTACAGAAGGGAGCCCTAGAGCCGCTTCAAGGTCTTTGAGTTTGTTGACCCATCGCCTGCCCAAGGCAAGCCCCGATGCATAACCCTTATTTTTAAAGATCACCGAATATATATATAATGTGCATCTATGTACAGGCATTTTATGGAAACTACATGCATAGATATATCTACCTATGAGTCCTACTAGTATAGGTCGAGTAACTGCTATGCTCAGGAGTTCGATAGCGTGAGTGACATGTTGTTACTCACAATAGGGAATAATTATGATCACTCATGATAAAATGGTGAAAAAGAAAATGGTGACCGGGCAGAGATATGGTTTGGGTATTGGTGGGTGTAAGAGGTTGTGTCCTACGGTCAATAGGGCATAGCTTGGTTACACTTTTTCCCTATGTGTGTCGGTTAAGGACTGGCCGTTGCATTGGACGCTAGGCAAGTCACAGACTTATTATCCCGAGCACATACTTGGGTATGGGCACAGGGAAGACTTGTTGCTCTCTTATCGTGGGTTTCGGCTCTTTCCGAACCAACTGATTGGAGGTGGGGAAGGTGGAGGTCTAAGCACCGCACTAAGTCTGGGACTTAGGAGCAGGGGCTTGGAGTCCAAGTTTGGATAGGGACCTGGACCCCATGATAGGAGGGTGATGGGTTGGTCCTGCTTGTGCCTAGGGTATAAGCGGGGTGTGTGTTTTCAAGGTACCTAGCTGGGCACATTGATTCATGAATCGCCGCCGTGTCGGTACGACTTGTCTAAACTCTGCACCATAGTAAGAACTAAAAGATGAAAGGTGAAGAAATAGAACTGTTACTCAACTCTTGCTTGAAAGTAGATCAATTGCTTACATAGAATGGCTAGATAATAAATTAATCATGACTGAAAGGATCAAGATGCCCAAGAGGGGGGTGAATTGGGCTAATTCTAAAATTCTTTGCAATAAATAAAGGCTACACTTAGCCCATTTCACCCCTTATGCCTAAAAAGTGATTCTATTGATCTACTGCACAAAAGTTTAGCACCATAAGTTCCAATCCTACTCTAGCATGACAATTCTAAGAATGTAAAGACAAGAATTGAATTGCTCAAATGTAAATGCTTAAAGTAAAGAGAGGAGAAG